TAACTGCTTTAATTAAACGACGTTGATCATTTGGAAGGCAATATCAACTCTCCAATATATTAGATGATATGGTAACAAAATGATAAACTCCATATGCCTACTATTTAACCACCCACCCAAGTTCACATATATCCCATCAGCAAATTACGATCGAGAACTAATTTTCTATCCCATGGAGGAGATCATTGGGAACGCTGCGCACGCACCCCAAGAGGGTGCGCCTGCGGCCCAGGAGAATGTTCCCGGGCCCCATGAGGATGTGCCTGCGCCCATGGTTCTTTTGGCCCCACCAATGCATGCCGTGGAAGATGCACTTGAATACACATTTCACTTTATCATGGGCATTCGAGACCAAGATACATTAAAGTAAGTTGTCTTATTATAAATTCTTTTGCTATATACAAATCATGTTGGAACACTCTTTTACACAGCAAAGGAAGATAGCTAGATTGGCAATCCTAAAACATTCATATATACTTGTATACGTTTTTAGTTGAATTCGACGGTACATGAACAATGTCATGCAAAGCCCATGAATTAGGGTTCTATATTTGATACGTGTAGATACATCTAGGTGAGGACAATCTGACCTCGTTCAATGTCATCCAATCTAAACATGAATTCGGTTTATAGGTTAGTATAGACAATGTTAAACTAGAAGATGACCATTGAGGTCTTTTCCTAAATGTTGTTGGGCATTTTTTTTCCAGCTCAATATGGATAAGAAGCTCCCGGCCGTACCAGATCGACATCAGCCTCCGAATGATCCAGGACACCCTGTTTTTTCATACAAAATTTCATCCCGAATGCTTCAACCTTGTTGTACGTAAGCTTGCAAGCGCTGAAATAGAGAGGACCGCAGGCACCAACTGGGTTGGGAGCAAACATTATTTCGACTTGCAGTTTCATGCTCAGTCACAGGCCCTGAGGTACTCCTGGATGACTCTAGGAGAGCGCATCAGGACGCTGATTAACTATGTTGTGGTCCAGCCTGTTTCTAAATATGATGTGTTCAACTCTATAATTGTAAGAGATGCTCATTCTTGAAGTTAGTTTTACTTATTATAATAGCAATTGACATGTGTCGACCTGCCACAGTATCTACTACCGTTGAAACTTTTGGATTCGTCATACGGGTTACTTGTAGTGAACCGACTGAGGAGGAGGGTTGTCATGATGAATCCATCCTTCAACACGTTTGATCCTGAAGATAGCACTCATAACATATTGACGAGGAAGGAAATCACACTACTGAAGGAAGAATTCAACACTGTGTTGCAGACTAGGATCGCTGATTGGAATACCCAAATCATGGATTGGGAACAAGATACCATGTCCTGTGTTGCTCGTCGGTAAGCTACTAAATTGATCGCATACATAAGATGCAGACCGTTATAATGTTTATTTTTTTTGTCGCAGCAAACACTCCGACTTCTTTGTGCTACAGGAGATGGCCCACCAGATTGGTCGTTTGCGTAGCATGGGCTGGATGAACACTACCGTAAGTACATAAATGATGAGTTGATGTGTGCTACTTATTATCCAACCAGTTTATTAAATGATTGAGTTTTTGCACCTTTCATAGGATCCAATACATCTTAGACGCCAAGTTACGGTCCAGATGCTAATGTTCAAAGACAATGAAGCTGCTGCAAACATCCCGCCAGAGATTAGAGCGGCCCTGAGGGTTTTAAGTAACTGAAGATGGACTGATGCATGCAGATATGCCAATAATATTTTCCTATACTTCAGATTTGTTAGGGATCGATTTGATAATTATTTATTTTTGATACGAATACTTAGATAATAACTTTATGGGGTCTTCTATAGACGTATGTTCAAAAAATTTAGGATGTTTTGGTATTATCAAACTATTCAAACATTTTGTGGTTTTGGTATTATTGAAGTTTGGTTTTACTACCATATCGTTGGATTATTAATTGATTTTGTTGCAACGTCATGAACGAATCATTCGGTTGTGTGCCATGGATGATTAGTGAGCCCCATTTGGGAAGCTGTACAGGGGTAATATGGCATGACGCTAGATGAGATGAGGCGCCAGGTTTAATGGTTTCTATAAAATAGGCAAATGCATGTGTGTGCACAGGATATTTACATCCTTCGGCGGCAACAATGTTCCTCCAACTGTTTCTGCACCTACTGTCATTTTCCTCTAAGAGGTACAAAGCGGAAATCGTCACATCTATCAATGCCCGCATCCAGCTCAAAACCCCCTATCACTTCCTCTACCGTTGAATTTTAGACACGCTATCATCATGTAGAACATTCAAATAATATTAAGAAAACAATGGAAGCACACATTAGTAAGTTAATATCTATACTACTATTAACCAAAATAATATTTTTTTATATAACCACCCCATTATGTGTACCAAGATTAATTGGTGCCATCAGATTATCCCACTTAATGATATCTAACGGCCTAAAACGGAGGTTAGGATTGCACGTAGCAATTAATTGACGGTCTATACTCTGCCGGGCGGACGAATATTCACCCGCTGTGCCCCGCTCCAATCACGAAAAATTATGCCGAGGATCACTCCCATTGCGGACGTGGGTTAGCTATGGATCATGAGCGTCTTGGACATCGACGAGCGGTCGTTGATGGCAAAGGGGGTGGCGCATAAGGAGTTCTCCTTCTTCCTCCATGATCCTATTCCACTCGCTTGCCGGCACCATGCGCCTCTACCTCGCCCTCTGCTCTGACGTCTGCCACACTAGGAATTTGGGATGAGCAGGAATACTGTAAAGAAGAAGAGGACAAGCAAGAAGCCGAGGTAGTGGGTACGACATCCGGGTCGAGAGTAGGTCGCAGCCATGCTTCATGGTTCAGGTGAAGATTAATTCAGCCATTGCCTCGGACAGGTTTCGTTTCGTCGGCGGCGCGGTCAGAGAGCAGATGGCATGAGCGCGCGGCCGGCCTGCTGTACGCGGTTGGTGCCTTGGTGGGCAGGGGCATGACTGCGCCCGAGCATGGAGAGGGGTTTCCTGTAAGTGCGTGAAGCAGGCGTGTTGTCGTGCTGCCGGCTGTGCTCTGCTCTGCTCTCGGAGGATGTAGAGGGGTTGGCGGCTTGGCGCTGAGAAGAGGAAGCTGGTTGTGCTCTCTCATGTAGTTCATCCAACGATTACTCTGTAGCATGTACTATTCCTCTATGTCTTCCTCCCTGCTAATTCCTCTGTCTATGTCAGTTAATTTCTGACTATTTTTGTGCACTGGTCGAAATCATAATAGCAAGGAAAACTTGGAATATGTGGGACCATTATTAAACTCGATCTGTTTATCTCCCTCTCAAGTCACAGTTTGGTTTCTTCTTTTTTGGGGGAGCTAATGTTGATGTGTAGTGATTAATCATCCATTTGATTGAAAGTTCAGGTGGTCTTGGGGCTCTCTAGGTGGCAGAAGATAGATTTTTGGTGCCTTTTTGTTGCAAATATTTATCTCTTTCTAGGTAGGCCAAGAGTTCTCAAAATTCTAGAATATTCAGTAGTTGTATGTTGTCTTAGGCTCACACCAAATGCTGAATTATAGCAGTGAATGTAAGTTGTATTCCTACCATAGTACGTAGCAGATTTATAGCTTACTATACTTCTATAAATCATACAACTCCCGTATTAATGCACGAACCATAAAGTCATGACTTATATTTGGCAAAAGAACTATATATAAATATCACGTCAATGCCTACCGATCAACATCAGCGCTAAAAGAGAAAGTTAATTTCATGCATCCAGAATTAGTATTGGTTACCTTTGGCATTTGGAAACCTTGGAGAAACTGGAATTGAACGCATTCATCGAACTTGTGTGGTCTCGCCGATGTTACAACTGCAAATAGTATATTGAGACTGTACATTACTACCAAATTATGGAATTATAAGTATTAGTACAATCTGTTAAATCATACAAAAGTAGCTAATCAGGAAAATGGTTAGTGTGCATGCCGTGAATTAATTAATACAATAATTTAATTATTTTTAGTAAGTTATGATTTTTTACATCTTTTCTAATTTATTAACAGGTATGCATTAGATGGAAAAAGGAAATATATCTGCACCATCCACAATGGTATATATGGTAGAAAACAATGGTATATATGGTAGAACTAGATTCAGCCATGATCTGCTACCCAGTTATTCTCCGTGTGGCCTACCTATATATGTTATTCTCCTCTATCATCCGTCCTCGCTCTCCTTGCTCTTCCTTCGGCCATCACAACAGCAGACCTGGAGGAAAATTTCCCAAGGAGTACCTTGTTTAAGCAAGGAGCATCAACAAGGCGAGTTCCTCTAGGTACAAACAATTCTGGATCTTTATCTTCTCTATAAAAGTGTAATAATTGTTATATTAGGATCATGTTTGGTTGATGTATAGTATCAAAAGTATGTTTTATCTTGCATTTTATGTATGTCGTGCTAAAATCAAGTGAACAGTCAAAAGTTGAACATAAAGTTAAGCAAGCAGAACAATTTACTAGAGCAATCTGTCCATTTGAGGTCCTCATGGTTTTATCCATGCCTGTCTTGTAAGTCCATCTTAGTGATTCCATCAAGGAGCTCTCAGCGAGAATATCTAGGCTTGGGAAAGATCTGTCATGAGAAACGTAAAACAGTTAAGGTATGTGCATAACTACAGGTAATAGATGATAACACCTAAAAAGTCTTCCTTTTGAAATCTTTAAAATATACACAAGATGTTCTAGAATAAAAAAATATGGTGAGTATTTACAATCAAAGACTGTTTTTATCTATAACAAACTCATATTCCCAAGAGATTCTTCATGGTGATGCACATGGGACATAGGGAACAACAAATATTGAGGATGATAGTATTACTAGGTTGTACTTTATAGATTTATTAACTGTTAGCAATCTAAATTTTGACAAGCATGTGAAAAAAGAAGTCAATGTAAACTTGCAGTAAGAGGATTCAAATGTAAAGAGTGAATCCGTTATCCACCATCAGGAATATCAGCATTGGGGCTATTCTGTTTGGGTTTAGTTTAATTCAATCCCAAAATTCACAAACACCAATTATACACTGCTAGAAAAAATTATTAGATATAGAGGGGTCACCGTATGGATTTCCCTGAACAATATCTGCAGTAATTGAGGTCACGAACCTGGGATGGTGCCACGTCTGCGTAAGTCGTATTCCGTTGCTTGTCGAAGCGCCCTGGCAAATGCTTTGAAAGTTGCCTCCATAATATGGTGTGAGTTGTTCCCCGCAAGCTTGGAAAGGAAAAAAAATGAGTGACTGCAGGGTTATCTATGTTATTCAATTAACTGGGGTGAAAACAATTATATTGACTCCTATATCACCAATAAACATTGTAACATTGACCCAAAGCTGACGAGGAGTATTTCTTTGAAACTGAAGCAACATATACCTGACGGATCTGAAGCGTCATGCCAGATGTATTCACAAGGGACTGGAAAAAGTGCGCAACTAGCTGTCATAAAAATAATTAATTTATAGTTCGCCAAAGTTGATAGCAGCGACATATAGATAAGAGAATCTCATCACCCTAACTCAAATAACAACCAACAGATATTGCGAAGATCTGTCAGAAATATCGTTTGGGGAAAGGAACATTTGAATTAACAAAACTTGAAACAGAAATGATGATCTAAAGTAAACTTGAACTTAATAAGTCATGTTTTGGCAATGAAAATCATCTTAAGCCTGACATAAATAGCAGACAATTGAAAATGGCTGTCAAAATTTTACCAAATACCTGTGTATCATATGTGCCAACTCTCTCGGTAGGAATACTTAAGCCGCAGCTCAAATGAGGTCGACCAGATAGATCCTGGATACAGGAGGAAAAAGAATGACTAGCAAACATCTAAGCTCAACAAGGCACAGTTTAATTATTCAGTAGATATTTGTATATTTACAAAATGTCAGAATTGTTGAGCAAAAAATAGGTAACCCAAAATTAAGATAGAGTAAAATAATTACAACTTCATTGCTATCATTCAAGTCTTCAGCCTATGTTAGATGGATGAGTCAGAATAACTATGACAAAAATAAAGCCAAAGGACTAGCATTCTTGATAATAGTCCTCAACAGTCAAAATCTTCATACATACCAATCTATCATAACATGAGATGCTCATGAAATAAGAGAACAAAATTATTTAATGCCTGGTCATTATCCAAGTTAAGAACCAAACAGATGGAAGTTGTAATTCAGTTATGTGTTAGCAAAGGTTGAGAGCTTCATAAGCTCATAAATGCCCAACATAGACATGCACCCTCCTGAATGGAGGTTGTAGGCATAGTATCTAAATGTAGAAGATGGTCCTGCATACCAGTATAACCTCAACTGCTGCCTCCTCAAGTGGTGCTGTAAAATGCCCAAACCGGTTAATCCCTTTTCGGTCACCAAGTGCTTGAAGTAATGCCTAAAAGAAAATTCCAAAACAAGTCACCACAGTAAGTTCCAAAGATAGCAGGACATTAAACTTAGGATAGTTCAGAATCAGGTAAAGAACAGAAATATAGCATGCAAAATTTAGCAGTGAGGTAAAGATGGATGTTCCAACTTCTGGTAGACAATAATTCGTATAACTGTTTCTAGAAGTACTGATGCCAAGTTAGAAAATAATGGTAGAAAAAAAATTACCATTCCAATTGCTAAAGCAGTATCCTCATTTGAGTGATGATCATCAATGTGTGTGTCACCCATCGCCTTCACATATACATCAAACAGACCATGAGATGCCAGTTGCTGTAAGCTGCAAACTGAAAGTTAATGCCTAGCTTTGACCAGAAGAAAAAACACTCACACGGCAAGAGTTAGAACCTTCTACTATCAAGCAGAAGATATACACAGAACATAATACTGGACCATTCAGAGTGCATCAATCTGAAAACAGAAATACTTCTCAATATTTTTTTCTCTACTTGTGTTGGTTTTTGCTACGCTAGCACATTACTGCAGTTGCATTTCACGTATTGATTTCAGATGTAAGGGCTTGTCATCCACAGTGGTCATTGCTGTCAGTTTGTCACTGATGTGGAATAACAAAAGCCTTACATTTCACACATACAAACACTAGTTAATAAGAAGGGAGTAACAATCTTTGCATGGATCACATCACCCTAGGGAAAGAGAAATCAAATAGGAATTCCCATCCTAATTGCTCAGTCGTCTGGAACACGTGGAACTCATAAGGAAACAGACTTTTCTACAGCAAGGACCCCTTCAGGCTAAGTCATGTATACATCACTTTCTCCTAATAATAACAGGATTGTACTAATCATGCTCTTAAACATTTGAAGTTAGCATGCCCTCTATGTAGGCTTTAACCAACACAAATTCAGAATGCTACTTGCCATTTTTGACTAACAGAAAGCTAATTATATGCCACACCACAATCTAGGATAGTTTAACCTCTATGTTAGCTTTTTAAATCTTGATTCACATGTATCTGCATATTAGTTTGCTTGTCCATGCATATAGGTAGTTGTAGCAGGTGAAGCCTTGGAGAACATGCAGGAGGTGAGATGCGAGGCGCCGTGAGATATGGCGCATGGCGAGATGCCGAACGGTGGCGAGAGGCTGCTGTGTATGCATGTCCGAGGTTGTTAGCTGCTGCTGCATGAGTGGCCGGGTCGTGTGGTTCCTAGAGTGATTCTAGGAGAAGATCAAGTCATTAGTTAGTGGTGTGCGTGGGTGCGTGCATGCAGTTAGTGGGCGAGTGTGTGGCCCGGCTACGTGAGCGTGAGTCTACTTAAGCACTTGTATGCATATTTGCTTTCAGAAGAGAAATAGAGGCAAAGAGAAAAGGTTGGGCTGTGAGAGTCCGACGCCAAACACCTGTGTCTCCATTTTCTTGAGTTGGTTGTGTGAGGCAGCCGTGAGGGAGAAGAGGGGCTGAGAGAGTTAGCTCCAACATTTGGTATCAGCGCTAGGTGATGACGAAGACGATGCCGCGTGACTCTTCAGCGAGTGGAGCGTTGGTGCCGAGCGACTCGGCGGCGATGGCGGCTGCCGCGACGGCGGCGACGACGGCGGCGGCGGGGAAGCTCCCGTTCCCGCTGCTCACGAGGACGAACTACGCGGCGTGGGCGATGAGGATGAAGTACCTCTTGCGCGCCAATGGCGCGTGGGGTGCCGTTGATCGCGAGGCCTCATCGGAGGTCGACAAGGGCAAGGAGGAGATGGCCATGACGATAATCTCCCAGTCCATCGACGACTCGACGCTGCTGCGGGTTGCAGAGAAGGAGACCGCAGCCGATGTGTGGGCGGCGCTACGCTCCATGCATGTGGGCGTCGAGCGCGTCCGAGAGGCGAGGATTCAGTCCTTGCGCTCGGAGTTTGACGGCCTCAAGATGGGTGATGCCGAGTCCGTGGATGACTTCGCGGCGAGGTTCACGACGCTCGTGGGGCGCATCCGTGAGCTTGGTGATGCGATGGAGGAGAAGTATGTCGTGAAGAAGCTGCTCCGAGCCGTCTCCAACAAGTTCATCCATGTTGCGTCGTCAATTGCGTTGTTCGGCGACACCAACAAGATGGCCATGGAGGAGGCCATTGGTTCACTCAAGGCACACGAGGAACTCGTCAAGGGGCGTGAGACGGGACGCGAAGAAGAGCAGCTCCTCATGGCGAGAGGACACGACTCGTCGCGAGGACGGGGTCGTGGCCGTGGACGCGGTGGAGGGCGCAGAGACAAAAGTGAGGTACAGTGTTACAATTGCCGCAAACTTGGTCACTTCGCTTGGGAGTGTCCTGAGAAGAAGAAGGAGAACGAGGAGGAGAAGGCGCTGCTGGGACAGTACGTCGACGACGAGCCAACTCTCCTTTGAAGCTCCATGAAGAATTGGGAATCAAGATTAGGGGGTGATTGTTAGCTTTTTTAATCTTGATTCACATGTATCTGCATATTAGTTTGCTTGTCCATGCATATAGGTAGTTGTAGCAGGTGAAGCCTTGGAGAACATGCAGGAGGTGAGATGCGAGGCGCCGTGAGATATGGCGCATGGCGAGATGCCGAACGGTGGCGAGAGGCTGCTGTGTATGCATGTCCGAGGTTGTTAGCTGCTGCTGCATGAGTGGCCGGGTCGTGTGGTTCCTAGAGTGATTCTAGGAGAAGATCAAGTCATTAGTTAGTGGTGTGCGTGGGTGCGTGCATGCAGTTAGTGGGCGAGTGTGTGGCCCGGCTACGTGAGCGTGAGTCTACTTAAGCACTTGTATGCATATTTGCTTTCAGAAGAGAAATAGAGGCAAAGAGAAAAGGTTGGGTTGTGAGAGTCCGACGCCAAACACCTGTGTCTCCATTTTCTTGAGTTGGTTGTGTGAGGCAGCCGTGAGGGAGAAGAGGGGCTGAGAGAGTTAGCTCCAACATTATTGGTTCGTGACTTGTTTTCTGAACATCTGAGGGTAGTTGATAACATAGTTTTTAGAGAATGGGCAAGAGCTTTGCGCTTCTTATTTTAATCCGAAAGCATTACCGATGATAAGAAACTGACTAAGAAAGGATTTTTCACTCAGAAAGGTAAGGTGGGGGCGGATCTGCCATGGGGAGTGGCGTACCGGAGCTATGGCGTTGCAGATCGGGACGCGTCGCCTCGGATCCACCTGCGACATCGCCGGAGAGGAGCGCCGCTGTGGATCCGTGATTAGTGCTTGTGCATGTCATCCCTCCTTGCCGAGGGCGGCGGCGTTGGTAAGCAGTCGTCGTCCTCGCCGTGCATGTGAGGTTTGCTCATGGCGCCGCGGCACAGAGAGAACAGAGAAGGAGTTCAGTGGCTAAGAAGACGACGAGGGGGCGGATCTGAGCATCCCGCGTTGAATGGATTTGTCAGGCATAGGTAGTGGCTTACCGGAGTTGTGTCGTTGCAGATAGTGACGCGTTGATGCGGATCCAGCTGCGACATCGCCGCAGAGTAGCGCCGCCGCGGATCCGACCGGAACGGCACCGCATGCATCACCCGCAGGTGCTCCAGGAAGCGCGCCCCGTCCGCCCCGCTCTGTCGCGCAGCCCACACCAGGCAGCCCCAAGGCCAGTGGATGTTGTAATCTGATGCGGGGGTCGGCGGGCGGGACAGTGGGGATTCCTGCTCGTCAACGCGGGCGGCGATGCGGCGGGGGAGGGGAAAGGGCGAGAGGGTTTGTGTGAGTGAGATGAGAGAAGATGAGAGAGTGAGCGAGACGAGAGGATAAGGTAGAATGCGGCGGGGGGAGGGGAACGGGCGACGCCGCGTCGCTTTAGTTCTGGTTCCGCCCTAGAGGCCTGCGTGCCAGGTGGGCCATGGTGGCGGGCCGCGCAACAGGCCTGTCGTGGCGGACCTGGCTTTTTTTGTTTTTTTCTTTTCATTTTTCTCTTCATTTGTTTGGGTTTCTGTTTATATTTTATTTCCCTTACTTTTTTATTCTTTAGTTACATTGCTTTGTTTTTATTATAACATACAACGTTCGTTGCATGTCACAAAAGTGTTCAATAGTATTAATGAAATGTTCATGGTTTTTTTCAACAGTTCATCATCCATTACAAAATTGTTCAACAGTTATTATAAAATGTTCAATGAATATATAATCACTGTGTTTTTTAAATTTGTTAACTGTATATTACAAAAATTTCAAATATGTATTAAAACATGGTTCAACTTATATTACAAAAGTATATAATCATTGTGTTTTTTTTGTTTATTTTATTTTCCTTTATCTCTTTTTTTATTTTTTTTATGTTTATATTTTTTTCCTATACTCTTTTATTCTTTATTTATAATGTTTGGTTTTTATTATAATATACGGAGTTCAATGCATGTCACAAAAGTGTTCAACGGTATTAAGGAAATGTTCATGTTTTTTTGAAAAGTTCATCGTCCATTACAAAATTGTTCAACATTTATTATAAAATGTTAAGTGAATATATAATCACTGTTTTGTTAAAATTTGTTAATTGTATATTACAAAAAATTGAAATATATATTAAAAAATTGTTCAACTTATATTACATAAATATATAATTGCTGTGTTTTTTGTTTATTTTCTTTTCCTTTTTCTCTGTTTTTTTCTGTTTATATTTTTTTCCTATAATATTTTATTCTTTATTTATATTGTTTCATTTTTTATAATATACATAGTTCATTGCATGTCACAATAGTGTTGAACTTATTTTAAAAAAATGCCCGTGGTTTTTTACAATAGTTCATCATCCATTACAAATTTTCTCCTTACATTTTTTTAAGATATATTACATGTTGTTAGTTTTTAGCCAGTTTTCTACACGGCTGGAGCTCGTTACATCCAAATGGGCCGGCCCAGTCGCCCCCTGCCTTCAGTGAAGGCTCCCGTGTTTTGCCTACCGCATGTTAACCTGGCCGGAGTGTGATTATTCTTATTACATATACTAAGAGGATCAAAAACATATAAAAAACACATATCCTTGGTTAATGTTGGTTAGTTAGCAAGTTCTTTTTTGTTTCTCAAATTTCAATAGCATATGTAATTAATTTAAAATCATTTAAGCAATTTCAGATGACCACTTACTTATATATGAACATTATAGTTTGTTGTTTCTTTCAATTGATGTATTAGTAAAATGTTTTGAACTATATGTTTTTCTAATATAATCAAAAGCATTTTTATCACATATAAAATAGTTGTGTTAGTTTCACATTATATGATGCAAAAAATATCCTATTTATATTTCAGCATAGATATAAAGTGATGGGTTCCGACATACTCACTGATGTAATGATGACAGTCCGCACTGAAACACCACGAGAAGAGGTGCATATAGCTAACCTTACTTTGTATGTATATTATAGATGATAATATGAATGGTCTATTTATATTCTTGTTTAATCAGAATATAGGAGACATGGATATGGACTTTGGAGATGCACAGAAAGAATACATGGAGGTTTCAGATGCAATGTCGCTGGAAGGGGCCGGATATTCACAACATAATAACGTCGAAGAGGTTACATCTCATAACAAACCAAAAAAGGATGCTAATTTGCATGTTATCCCACAAGGTATATGTT